AAGGAATGTTAAGAATGATTCATTTGACATTTTTTCTTAATATTATTCTGCCATTTGTAGGAAAGATGAATTTTGGAGGAGAGATTGGATTTTGCAGCCAGAGGGAACAATTAGAAAGTTTTTATAATAGTTTGAGTGATAATCAAATTATTTAATTATATTTTGCATGAATTTATTAAAATAGAGTAGAAAATCATATTTCTTGTAATCTAAATTGTACTGATATCAAATGAGAAGATTTGATTTTATCAAAATACTGATCCTTTCTAATTAAAATGATGCATACAGGCACACTTAGTTTTATTGCATTTAACTTTATTGTGCTTTGCAGGTATTATATGTTTTACAAATTAAAAGTTTGTGGCAATCTTGTATCAAGCAGGTGTATTTGTGCCATTTTTCCAATAGCTTGTGCTCACTTAATGTCTCTGTGTCACATTTTGATAATTCATGCATTATTTCAAAGTTTTTTATTATTATTATATCTGTTTTAGTGATTTGTGATCAATGATCTTTAATGTTACCAGTGTCATTGTTTTTTGGTGTCACTAACCACACCCATATAAGGCAGCACATGTAACTGATAAGTGTGTGTGTTCTGACTGTTCCAGTAACCAGGCATTCCCCCACCTCTTTCCCTCTTCTCCTTGAGGAGAATAAACCTCCCTATTCTCTGAGATGTAATAATACTAAAAGTAGGCCAAAAAGTAACCCTGCAATGGCCTGTAAATGTTCAAGTGAAAGAAATAGTTGCATGTTTTTCACTTTAAACTAAAAGCTAGAAATAATTAACCTTAGTGAGGAAGGCATGTCAAAAGCTGAAACAGGCTGAAAGCCAGGCCTCTGTGCCAGAGTTAGCCAAGTTGTGAATGCAAAGGAGAAGTTCTTGAAGGAAATTGAAAGTGCTACTCCAGCGAAAACATGAGTGATAAGAAAGCAAAACAGCCTTATTACTGATAAATGGAGGACATTTTATGGTCTGGATAGAAGAACAAACCAGCTAGAACATTCCCTAAGCCAAAGCCTAATCCAAAGCAAGCCCCTAACTCTCTTCATATGAAAACTGAAAGAGGAAGCTGCAGAAAAAGAGTTTGAAGCTAGCAGAAGTTGGTTTATAAAGTTGAAGGAAAGAAGCTGTCTTTATAACATTAAAGTACAAGGTGAAGTAGCAAGTGATGATATATAAGCTGCAACAAACAAGTTATCCAGAAGATCTCAAGCTGAGATAACTTATGAAGGTGGCTACACCAAACAACTTGTTTTCAGTGTAGATCACACAGCCTTCTACTGGAAGAAGATAAGACTTATATAGCTAGAGAGGAGAAGTCAATGCCAGGTTTCAAAGTTTCAAAGGACAGGCTGGCTGACTCTCGTTATAGGCTAACATAGCTGGTGATTTTAAGTTGAGGCCAATGTTTGTTTGCCATTCTGAAAATTCTAGGGCAGTGAGGCATATGTAATACATTTAGGGTAGAAGGAATTGTTGGCAGCCATTTTTGGAAATAATCCAGTTTTCAATTTTTGTAAATGTTCTAAGGATATGAAGTCACATACATTTTTTTTTTTTTTGAGACAGAGTCTCACTTTGTTGCCCAGGCTAGAGTGAGTGCCGTGGCATCAGCCTGGCTCACAGCAACCTCAATCTCCTGGGCTCAGCGATCCTACTGCCTCAGCCTCCCGAGTGGCTGGGACTACAGGCATGCGCCACCATGCCCGGCTAATTTTTTGTATATATATTTTTAGTTGGTCAATTAATTTCTTTCTATTTTTGGTAGAGGCGGGGTCTTGCTCAGGCTGGTTTCGAACTCCTGACCTTGAGCGATCCGCCCGCCTCGGCCTCCCAAAGTGCTAGGATTACAGGCGTGAGCCACCGCGCCCGGCCTACATACATTTTTTATTGCTAGGTATATCAGTTAGCTTTTCCTAAATAACAAATTACTCCAAAACTTAGTGAATTAAAATGGTAGATTCATTATTTCTCTTAGTGGCTGGATATGTTTTCTCTCTGAGCAGGCTCACCTTTATTTGGTATAAGATAGTTTTACTCATATGTCTGACATTCCATCTGGAACATCTAGGACAGTTTCTTATCCTCCAGGAGGCTAGCCCTGGGTAGTTTACAGAAGGGCTCCCAGTAGCAATCGAGCAAAACAAAGCTGAAAGTTCTTTTGAGGCCTAAGCTCACATCTTCCATAGTGGACCAAAGAAGTCACAGGCCAACCGAGTTTCAAGCAGTGGGGAAATAGAGTCTACCTTTTGATGGGAGCTACTGCAAAGAATTTATGGCCATTTGTAGTTTACCCAGTGTGGTGTATATTCTCTCTCTCTCCCTTCCTCTGTATAAAATTGAATTAAGTCTAGATTTGTCTTATTTTTATTCTTAATATCATTGTTAGAATATAGGTTAAGCTTCTATATAAAGAGATCTCATATAGTAATTAAATGGCTTAAGATAGAGTAGTATTTTTATCTCATGTAAAGTTTGAGTAGATGGTTACAGCAGGTATAGTACTTTGATTTACTTGGGACCTAGTCTTACTTCTTGCTCTCATTTTTTCTCATTGAAATTTAGAAATTTTACCAGATTTCAAATTATTTATTTATCTCAAGGAAATTTTGTGTTCTTATTTATTATGATTTCCAGATTGATTCTTTAAGTCTTCTGTCTTTTCCTTCCTGGCTTCTATTTGTATGTTTGTTCTGTGCTATAAGATATTTCTTTTGTTTACTTTATAAGATTACTAAATCTATTCTAAGAAGTAGTGTTTCTCCTTTTCTCTTCCTCTCGAATTTTTAAATTAAAAAATCATGTTTACTTTCTTCAAAAATCTCAGGAGACCCTAATTTGGAGCTCTAATAGCATCTATCAGAGAACTCCATCAGAGTTTTAATGTTTTCTCTCTAATTACTTTATGTCTGTCTCTAGTTCTGCTTTAGTAGGGGATACCTCTTTGGATTATGCATCTTCCTCTCTGAAGTTACTTACTCTTCCTCTCTGAAGTTATTTAGGCCTATCAGTTGGTCTGCTCAGGTGTCTGTGTATGGATGCAGGTTTCCTCAGCCACCTCATTGGTCATATATTGAGATCTCTTGAGCGGTGGTTAAAAGGTTTATTTTTGTTCCCATTATTATTGTCTTCTATTTTTCATAGATGCTATGTACTCTCAAATTTCAAGGAGAATAAAATGTATATTTAAAGCCTTCTTCTGTTTCTTAAAAAACGTTCATAAAAGGAACATTTGCTCTGTACTTTAAAGATGTTTTTATATTTTTGTTTGTCCTTCATTGTTTTCTGATGAGAAGTGGTCATTCAGGTCATCCTTTCCCTTTGTGTAATATGTCATTTTTTTTTGGCTGCTCTCAAGGTTTTCTCCTTTTACTTGGTTTTTAACAGTTTAACTTAGGCATGATCTTGTTTCTAAACATCAACTCAGGGTGGACTGAGCATCTTGAGTATGTAATTTTCACCAAGTTTGGGACATTTTTTAACTATTATTTTTCAAATATTTTTTATACCACGTTCTCTCTCCCTCTTCCTTATGGGACTGCAATTATATGTTATATATTTGATATTATCCTACATATATGCCTTAGTATATGTTAATTTCTTGAAATCTTTGTTCTTTATATTTTGATTGGATATTTTCTATTGATGTCTATTCAAGTGGTTTGATTTTTCTACTGTCATATCCAATCTGTTCCTATACCCATACATTAAAATTTAAAATTCAGATATTATAGTTTTTAGTGCCAGAATTTCCATTTGGCTATTTTTTATAATTTATATTTATCTACTAAGATTTCTATCATTTCACTCATTATGTGCATATTTTCCTTTATAGTGGGCATTTTTATAGTGAATGCTTTAGAAGTCTTATATGCTAATTTTAAGATCTGGATTGTTTTGTTGATTGTCTTTTATTTTCAAACTAAGCCTCATTTTTCTGTTTCTTCAAATTTCAATTATTTCTAAATTGTATCCTGGATATTTTGAAAAGCATATTGTTGAAACTCTTGATTCTGTTATATTCTTATGATATAACTGTACTATTTTTTAATATTTAATATATAATTAACATTATTGGATACAAAATGCAAATTATGTATTTAGGTAGCAGCTCTAATTGCATTTCAGTTCTTTTAGCTTTTGCTAGGCTGCATAGAGTCTCCTCTATGCATGTGTGGTTCAGGAGTTGGGGAGATTTGGATAGAGTTTTATAAAGAATTTGAGATTCCTTATCTATGATGGCTCTTTTCTTTGTATGACTTGCCCCTAATCTTTCCAGTGGCTATGGTTGTCCTGTATTCTGTCCTTTGGTAGTTTTCTCTCAGCTGCTAGGCTCCCTGCATGGTTCAGACAGGGCTTGCCTTCAAAGTAAGAGCCATGAAAAAGAGAATTGTACCTAGACCTCTTTCTGTCTTCCAAGTGTCACCTTCCATCACGAATCTACTTACACTTGATTCTTTCAGTACTCCGCAGTGTTGATATTTGTATTTGGTCTGGGGTTTATTATTGTTGTATATGGCAGCATTTGTCCAGTAGAAACTTGCTGTGCCATATTATTAATAGAAGCAAAACAGGGCACTTTAAATATGGTCCTCACACTGTCATCTATCTAATGGAGAATTCCTGAGACTTCATGTGTAATTGAATCTACTAATTCTCACAAAGCCAGAAATATGTTTATTTTGTGTTAAGGGTAGAGATTCTTCTTTTATTTAGATTTGATATGTCTCTATTTAAATATTTCAGGCCTACAGAAAAGGAGAAATGAAATGTTTAATTTACTGTACTTATAATGTGCCAGGTTCATGGTCAATTTGCCTGCAGAAAATCAATAGGAAGCTTCAGCTATTATCCACTATTATGCATGAGAAATGTGCAGTGTATGCTGAAATCATCTTGGCTATATATAGATTTTAGAAAATTTATAATTGTAAATATAAATTAATTATTAAAATAACAAAGTGAATATTTTTTTATCCTTATAACTTCCTAGAAAGTAGCATGTGCTCTGGAAATTGAGAACAAAGTCCTAAAGGAACGACTCAAACAGGCTTTACAGGTAAAGGATGTCATGTTCCTTGAAAATTGTTAGTAAGCGAAGAAAATATTCATAAAGAAATTTTTAATTGAGTAATTTTGACTTCATAAACTAAGCAGTCTATATATTGTACTATTTTGCTGCATTAAAATATATTCATTTTATTCAATAGGGATACATTGATAAAGTTAAATATTCATTTGTATCAAAACAGTAATCTGTAAACAAAAGTAAACTTTCTTAATCAAACAAAGATAATCTATTTCAAACTGATAGATAATATATTTAAAAGTAGAATACTCAGACTCCACGAAAGGAGGTTGCGGAAGAGAACTGGAAGCTGACACCACTGGAGCAGCCAGAAGACCAGCGGAAAGGGTAGGTAAATCAGTCACTGTTCCCCTCTCCTGCATCTGGGACTGCTGGTGGGCTCCCCACGCAGATGGAGAGACCTGCGGACACCAGCCCAGAGATGGCCGCCACCAGAGAGCGATTTTCTGATTGAGCGGAGCCATTCCAGCCCCTCCCTGACAGATTTTCCTGGAAGCAGAGAACAGAACTTTGACCCCTGCTAACTTCATTGGTGGTGCCTGAGGACAGGCTTACCAAACCAGGCTCCGCCCAGACTCTCTCCTAGACCAGCCCTCACTGAGGGGGAGAAAAGGACACACCTGGAAGTCCCAGGGCGCCATCGACCACCTGAGGCACTAGAGTGCCTCTCTACAGGAACAAGAGCTGATAACAAGACACAAAAAAAACAGCATAGCCTCTTCCTCCAAGCAAGCGCCACCTACTGACAAGGAGGATATCCTGCACACCCTTTTCATGGCACCTACTGACTCATTATACAGGGAGTGGTCGAATATCATCCACAGACACCACCTACCGGCTCAGAAACTAAACAAGGCGTGTCAATACTCAAACAAAAACCTAAAGGAAGGAAACAACAACTGAACAACATGGGAAGAAATCAGCAAAGGAACTCAGGAAATATGAAGAACTGAATAGAAAACATACCCCCAAAGAGGAGCACCGGCCCCCTAGAAACAGACACCAACCAAAATCAGGCATCCAAAATGACACAAGAGGAATTTCATATGTGGATCATAAGAACACTCACCGACCTGCAAGAACAACTCAATAACCAACACAAAGAAACCACAAAAAGCCTCCAGGACCTAGAACAAAAGTTCACTAAAGAAATACACACAATGAAGAAAAGTTTAACCGAACTCCTGGAAATAAACAACCAATTCAGGGAACTACAAAATACAGTGGAAAGTCTCAAGAACAGGGTAGATCAAACAGAAGAAAGAATCTCACAGATTGAAGATAACACCCTCCAACTAAATAAAACCATCACAGAGATAGAGCTGAGAAACAAGAGAAAAGAGCAAAGCCTACAAGAGATGTGAGATTATGTGAGAAACCTAATGTGAGGGTCATAGGGTTACCAGAAGGGGAAGAAGACAACACTCAAGGGTTGGACAAGCTATTTGATGACATAATAGAGGAAAATTTCCCAGGCATTGCTCAAAATCTCAATATACAAGTTCAAGAAGCTCAGCGGACCCTAAGAGATTCAATGCAAACAGGAAGACGTCACGACATGCAGTCATCAGACTGACCAAAATATCAACTAAAGAGGCCCTTCTAAGAGCTGTAAGACGAAAGAAGCAAGTAACATACAAGGGAAAGCCAATTCGAATAAAAATAGACTTCTTTAATGAGACTTGTAAGCAAGGAGAGACTGGAGCCCCATTCTCACTCTTCTGAAACAAAACAATGCCCAGCCTAGAATCTTATTCCCGGCAAAACTAAGCTTCATATATGAAGGAGAAATAAAGACATTCTCAGACAAGCAAAGTCTCAGAAAATCAACCAAGATAAGACCAGCCCTACAAGAAGTACTCAAAATAGTGTTACGCATGGAACATCATAATAAAAACTCACAAATATAAAAACAACCAAAACCCAAAGATAAAAGGCCAGATACTGCAATGGCTAAAGAGAGAAATCAAGGCAACAACATCCAACCCAAAGGAATTTACAGGAATCTACCTTACCTATCAGTTCTCTCAATAAATGTGAATGGCTTAAACTCTCCAATCAGGAAACATAGGCTGGCTGAATGGCTAAGAAAATACAGGCCAAGTATATGCTATCTTCAGGAAACACATCTAAACTGCAAGGATGCATATAGACTAAAAATAAAAGGGTGGAGATCAGTATTCTAGGCAAGTGGAAGCCAAAAGAAGGCTGGCGTGGCAGTTGTAATTTCAGATGATTTAGTTTTTAAACCAAAAAGTAGTGAAAGACAAAGGGGGTCATTAAATAATGATGAAGGGCACAGTTCAACAAGAAGAGATAACAATTTTAAATATATATGCAGCCAATTTAGGTGCACCCAGTTTCATAAAGCAGACCTTACTGGATCTAAGCAAATGGATTAATAGCAACTCCATAATCACCAGAGATTTCAGCACCACACTTGATGGCACAAGACAGATTGTCCAAACAGAAAATTAATAAAGAAATAATGGACTTAAACAAAACTCTGGAACAATTGGGTCTGACAGACTTTTACAGGACATTCTATCCCAAATCCACTGAATATACATTATTCTGATCAGCTCACGGGACATTCTCTAAGATCGACCATATCCTAGGACACAAAATAAATCTCAAGAAATTTAAAAAAATAGAAATCATACCATGTACTTTCTCAGATAACAGTGGAATAAAAGTATAAATCAACCCTAACAGAAACTCATATTTCTACACAAAAACGTGGAAATTAAACAACCTCCTACTAAATGATTACTTCATAAATGAAGAAATCAAGCTGGAAATAAAAAAATTCTATGAACAAAATGACAATGGAGAGACAAGTTATCAACTCCTCTGGCACACAGATAAAGCAGTCCTGAGAGGAAAGTCTATTTCCATAAATGCCTATACCCAAAAGTCGAAAAGATCACAAATAGGCAACCTAAGGAATTGTCTACAAGAGCTGGAAAAAGAAGAACAGACAAACCTCAAACCCAGCAGAAGAAGTGAAATCAACAAGATCAAATCAGAACTAAACGAAATTGAAAACAGGGAAGCTATTCAGGAGACAGGAGAATAATAAGCAAAGAAGTTGTTCCTTTGAAAAATAAAAAATGCACAGCCACATTGGCTAAGCTACAGGAAAAGCAGAAAAGAGAAAAATCTCCTATAACTGCTCACCAGGACAAAACAGGGATATGAAAACTGATCACAAAGAGATACAAGATATAATTTTGAATCTAAACAAGATCTTTATAACACACCAACACTGGAAAATGTGGAGGAGAATGGACAATTTCTAGAAACCACGCAGCTCCCTAGGCTCAACCAGGAAGGAAATAGATTCTCCTGACAGCAAATCTCAACAGCTGAAAAGCAAACAGCAATAAACAATCTCCCTAAAAAGAAACACTCCAGTCAGATGGTCTCACACCCGAATTTTACCACCTTAGCAAAAGAACTAGTACCCTGTCTGCAGACTATTCCGACATCAGAGAGAACAGAAACCTCCCCAATCACCTTTATGAGCAAAATATATACTCCTGATACCCAAACCAGGAAGGATGCCACACAAAAGAAAACTAACAGAACATATCCCTAATTGAATACTACGACTCAAAAATTCAACAAAATCTTCAGCTACCACCGAATCAGACTGCTCATCAACAAAAAATAATCCATCATGACCACTTCGGCTTTTCATCCCCAGGTTGCAGGGATGGTTTCACATACATAACACCCTACATAAATGCAATCACCACATAAACAGAAGTAAAAAAAACCACATGATTCTTGTTCAATAGATGCAGAACAAGCTTTAGACAGACAATGTCAACACCCTTCTATATCAGCAACACCTTAAGAAAATAGCTTAGCAGGACATACCAAAATATGATACAGACCATATAGACAGACCCTTAGCCAATATCATACTGCAATGGGGAACAATATTGGAAATCATTCCCACCTTAGAACTGGAACAAACCAGACACGGCTTCATCCTATCTCACTTCTGTTCCAACATCAGTGCTGGAAAGTCTTGGCTACCAGCAATCAGACACAGGAAAATCTGGAATCAAAGGTATATCAACATAGGGCAGAACAGATCCAAACTCTTCCTGTTGGCGATGATATGAATATAGGCTGTATCTGTACTCAGACCCAAAGATTCAACCGCAAGAATCTGGAAACTGATCAATGAATTTAGTAAAGTCTCCAGGATACAAAATCATACACAGAAATCAGAAGGCATCATATATGCCAACACCATACTACATTGAGAACCCAAAATCCAAGAGACTCAATTCCCTTACACAAACAAAAGAAAATAAATACTGAGGGACCATACTACTTACCAAGAGGGTAAAAACTGAAGAGGAGAACTATAAACACTGAGGAAGAAATAGTCAGAGGAGTGTAAACAGATGGAACATCCAATACCATGCTCGTGATCGGCAGCTCAACCATCATACAAAATTGTCTATACTACCCAAACTGATCTACAGCTATCAATGCATATACCTTAGCTTAAAATCCCATCAGCATTCTCACAGTATAAGAAAAAATAATTTTACGCTTCGCTATGGATCAAAGAGACCACCGAAGATATCAAAGCAATTTAGGCACAAAACAAAATGGGAGGCCATTATATCCGATAATCAATAATACTAAAGCTGAGTAATAAATCAAATGGTATTGAACAAAAATAGGGGAATATTCTACCAGTGGAACAGATGTGAAATCCTGATAACAACCATCTCATCATAGCCCATCTAATCTTTGACAAAGCAGACAAAACATAGCTGGGGAAAAGAATCCCTTTCAATAATGGTGCTGGGAAACTGGAGTACACCTGTAGAAGGCTAAACAGGACCCACACCTTTCACCCTCTCCAAATAAAATCAACTCACGCTGGATAACAGACTTAAACCTAAATTATGAACTATTAGATTCTAGAGGAAAGTTAGAACACTCTCCTAGACATCGCCTGGCAAGAATTGAGAAAGAAGTCCCCGAAAGGAATCACCAGAGCAACAAAATAAATAATGGGATCGAATCAAACTAACAAAACTTCTGCACAGCCAAAGAATAGTCATGAAGTAAAAAGACACACCTACAGAATGGAGAAAATTTTGCATCCTACGCTCCGATAAGGGACTCGATAATAGAATATACTTAGAACTCATGACAACTCAGCAAGAAAAATCAAATAACCTATTAAAAAGTGGCAAAGACTTCACTGAAACTTTCTAAAGAAGACAGAGAATGGCCAACAAACATATGAAATTGTCAACATCTCTAATTATCAGGGAATGCAAATCAAACCACAATAGATATCACTTAACCCCAGTGAGAATGCTTTACAAAAAATGTTCAAAACAATATGCTGGCATGGATGCGGAGAGAGAGGAACACTCCTACACTGCTGGTGGACTGCAAACTAGTTACTCTGTGGAAAGCAATATCGTGATACCTAAAGCGATACAAGTGGATGCTACCATTTGATCCACAATC